ATATATATATATTAATAATTATTAATTTTAAAATTTAAAATAATAATATTAAATACATTTTAATTAAAGATGATATTATTATATTGTAATACTTATCTCACTTGTTATAACATGATTTTTATGATGTATAATTAATTATAATATTGTAATGCTTATTTATTACTTATTTTAATTAATTAAGATATTATCTTTAATTTTAATATAATAATAATAAACTTTATTTTATTTTTTTATAATTATAAGATATTAAATATTATAATTTTTTAGAAATATTTAATTTTGAAATGCTTTATTATTAAGCATATACTGTATATTTAAAGTGATGCAAAATTTTTAAACCTCCTGAAGTTTTATCTACTATAATTAAAAGTTTGTATAATTAAGTCTTTTATATTACCTAAAAAAAAATTTTTGAATATTAATATAAAATTTTATCTTTATATCTATAATAAGTATACATAAAAATTTTAATTAAGAGTATACCTATACTTTAAATAAAATTTTTTACAATTTAATAAAATATACTGATTAAAATAAATATTATGTATGATAAAATTTATTGATAAATCATAAGTATAAAAGATTAAAAATTATTTTAAAATCATTCATCATTTAAATTAATATTTTTTTTTATTTATTTGTATAATTTTTTAATAGATTATTTAAACTTATATGATTTTCTAATAAAATAAAATATGTTACATATTAGGTTTTTCTAATTTTACTATTTTTTAAACCAATAAGAAGTACCATAATTTCTTTTATTACAGATTCTAAATATACAATAAATTGAAATAAATTAGACTTATATACTAATTGTATATGATTTTTACTTATAATAGAAATAAATTTATATGTTAAATTTGATTTAAGATTATACAAATATGCATAAATTTTTCTTTTACATAGATTTGATATAAATCTATATAAATATAATTTGATTTGCATTTCTTAAATAATATAATAATTAATAAATTAATAAAAATTCAATAAAAATTATAAAAACTTAAATAATTTACTTTAAAATTTCAGCAATTATAATCCTTAACGAAAAGAATAGCAGTTTAAATATTGCATATATTTTAAGCTGAAATATAAGCTACTTTCTAATATAAACCATTATTTATATGACTAAATTAGGTACTAGAATTATAATATAAAAAGTAAGTTAAAAAAATAAAGTTTGTTTTTGTTTTTGTTTTGATTTCTTAACTGAAAAAAACTAAGCTCTCTTAAAATTCAAAAAAACTCTGTTAAAAGACTCTGGAAATAAAACATGCATAGTGCAAAGAAAATTTATGAATAATTGTATATTCCTTTATATATATGTGAACAATATGTCAATTTACTATGTAAAATTGCTAATATTACTATTAGTCATTCTTCTGATCGCTCAAAAAATTGTTTGTAAACTAATGTCTCTATATTAAAAAAATTTTAAAATACAACCATTTCACTATTGCAGGTAAACTTAAAGTAAAATTAGAAGAAAAAGATCCTGAACTTGAGGTTAGCAAATATATAGTACGTTATGAACTTAAAACCTTAGATATATTTCTGTTATACCAAAAAAAGTTTCTCTCTTAACCTAAAAGTGAAGGATATTAGATTGTCTTTATCATATGATTATTCACGTTACAACTGAAAAAAGTTGTTTTTTCTGATGAAATAACACTATAGATGTTTAGAAATACTATTTATACATAATCTCATAATGCACATCTAGTTATTTCTATAGTAAAGCATCCATTTAAAATTCATATTTAGACAGCAATTAACATCAAAGGAAAAGTTAATATTCATTTGTTTACTGAAAATTTAGACTGTTATTTATACTGAAATATCCTAGACGATCATTTGTATTACAATGCGACAATATTATTTAGTTGCAACTGAATCTTCTAACAAGATAATGATCTAAAACATATCATATAAGACATTTAGATGACTTAAAAAAACATCTTTCAGGAAGAGTTCTTTCTTAACTTTTGTACAGTCCAGACTTGAATTTTATTAAAAATGTATGGGCTATATTAAAGGGAAAGTAGAAAAAAGAATTAAGAATATGGTGCAAAAAAAAAATTACCTGTGATATTTTCCTTAATACAATCTAGTAGAAATAAAATAATCTCAATAATAGTATATTATTTCAGTGTATTAATAGTATGCTAAATCAGATTTAAGTATGTATCAATGTAGAAGGAGGGTATATAAAATATTAATTATTATTAAAAAATATTCTATTAGTATTATTCTTTTAAATAAAAAAATAAAAATAAACATTAAAAATAAAGTTTATACATATCATCAAAAACTGTCTTTACCATTTTTTTTTACTAGGGACTATACAACAGAATTATTATTTTATAATAAAAATAAAATCCCTTCTTTTAAATTTAAAAGGTTATAGATTTATTTTATTAGAATTAAAGACCTTCCAATAATAGTTATCTATTATAAAATTTATTCTTTATTTTTATTTATTTATTATTATTATTATTTAATTAATTTTGATAAATAATATTTTTTTTATATTCAATTCTGTAACTACTGTAAGATTATTTTGATTAAATATAGTTTATTTCTAACTTTTTTCTTTTCTTTTTGAATATAAAAATATATTTTTCTAATATTTAAAATAATTTATTAAATATTAAAATTAAAATAAAGAATAATAAAAAATTATATTTTAAATAGTCTTAATAATATGTTATGATTTATATTATAGCTAATAGATTCAATTCAAAAAAATCATTTTCATATTTTAATTTTAAATTTAACTGAATATTTTTATTATTCTTTTCATTTAAAAAATTGAAATATTTAGGTAATTTAAATCTATCCAATATGCATTGCTGATTTTTGTTAGTAATTTATTAATATTAAGTATTAGACATATTATATGCAGATCATTTTCATATTAAAAAAATTTTATATAACTATAATTGAGTTATTTTACTCTATAGTTAACTATTTCAAAATGTTTTACATACCACTTATATTAATTAAGAAATTGATAGATTATCATATGCTTAATCAATTCTAATTATTGATTTTCTTTTTAGATAATTACTTTTTTAATATTTACATGAAACTTCACTTTAAAATAAGTTTTTTCAAGATCTTCTTTCAAGTAGATACAAATATATAACTTTAACAATAAAATATATGTAATTTTTAGAAGTCTGAATTAGTCAAAAATTTAGTATTCGATTAATCAATCGTTCATAAAATTTATAATAGATTATATTTAAATTAATTGTTAATTAATGATGATTATTCAAATTATTCAGATCATCTGAATAACTGATTAGTTAAAAGAACTAAATCTTCAATACATTAATTAAAATAAAAATATATATTTTGAATTTATCTTTATTATCAACAATAATAACAAATTATATTTTACTAATTATTCTAACTATTATTTTTTGTTAATTACTATAATCAGATTAATATTTTCATCAAATAGAGGTTGAAACTGATCAAAATTCTTTAATCAGTTAATAACCAATTAAAATATTTATTAACCAGTTAAAATTAACTTATGCCAGTCCTATAAATTTAGCTAGAGTTAATTAATATTTTGCAATTAAAAAATCTTAATTCTGGTCAGAAATTGAATTTCAGCTAGAGCTAAATTCATCTATTTTAACCAGTAAAAAAAATCATTAACTGGTTAACATGTTAACCACTTTATTTGATTCCAATTTCTATCATCAAATGAATCTTTCAGAATTACTTCTTATTCTAAGAAATATCATTATTGTAAATTGCATCAAACTCATTTTATTTTGTAAAACAAAATTTGAATGAAAAAATATGTAAAAAAATTTGAAGTTGAATATCTTTAATTAATTTATATGTTGCATGCTTATTAAACTATGGATTCAAAATATTTGAATATCTGATTATCTGATTATCCATTCATAATTGATGATAATTGATTAAATAACTGAATAACTAAACAAAATTTTCGTCTAATCAATCATCGTAATCAGTTAGTTATATCCAGATAATTTGACTACAGATCAAACGATTCAGACTTCTAGTAATTTTATGGGAAAAAGAATATTCTCTTAGGTTGTAAAGTATGTTGTTTAGTTGGATTTATGTAAATATAAAAAATGAATTTTTATATTTATAAAAATTTAATGGTAAAAAGTTTTTAATAAATACTTTGAATTTAAATACAACTTGGCTGAAATAATAACTTTTATTAAAAGTAAGTAATTTATTGTTCTTCTGTGAATGACATATTGAGCTAAATAAACAATATTAATAAAAACTAAATAAATATGTAAAAATAAAAAAGATTATTAAATAAAATTATATATTATTGAAAAAAATTAAATATTCTATATTATTATTCTATACTAATAAAATATAAAATACCTGTAGAAAAAAATTTTCATTTAGTATTATTTTTTTTAATTAATAAAAAAAAAAATTTTAAAATCAAAAAGTTATCACATTAAAATAAAATACCTTAGGTCAAAACAACATATTTTTCATATTAAAATTGTTTATAATACTTTCACATATTAAAATCGGCATATAATAGACTACTTTGAAAAGAACTTCTTAAAACTACCAAACCGTTTAACTTTTAAAACTTACAAAAATGTTTTGAGAAGTGAGTGAACGTTTTTATGTGAAATAGAAATTCAAAAACGTTAGTAATGTCTATACGCAAAGTTGATCAAATGATCAACATCTATATAAATGTCATTTGCTATGATCGACATGTGACATTTGTTATCTAATTCATCCTCTGATTTACTAGTAATCATACTAAGCATCACTTGTTTTTTTTTATAGTTATATTATTATTATTTTTTTTTTTAAGTGAATATAAATATTGTTGATTAGTTCTGAAAAATTTTAATTAAACCATTAAAATGGTCAACATATTATCTGGTTAAAGATTTTTTAACTGGTTAAAATAGGTCTAATTCAATTTTTGGCTAGAATTAAGATTTTTATTATTTCAAATAACAATGAGTATTAAAGTAATTTTTATCTGGATTAGGCAACATAAATTTTATAGTAAAATTGGACTGTTAAATTTTTTATTTTTATTATACAGTATCTGAATTGAACAGATAATAAATCTACATTCAAATGTACAAATAACATTTTTTATAAGGAATCAAAAATCAAAGAATAAAATTCTACATTTTAGACCAAAAATCCATTTGAAATCGTTCGAAGTCGGATGTCCGTATATGTCAAATTATTTCTTTGGCATTAGGCGGTTGTATGAATGGAGAAATTAATTCGGTATTCCCGTATATTTCACTATCAGACATGGCTCAATGGATGCTGTTTAAAATCCTGGCAACATAATCTTAGTGATATATAAATTACTTCTCCGCAAATTTCGTTATTTATATGACAACTGAATGAGAAACCGATATTTTCATTAAATAATCCTCTTAATTTGTTTTAATTTTCATCCATTAATGCAAGTAGATTTAGGAGACGTTTCGAGGATAATAGATTTCGAGATTTTGACTTAGATATGTTCCTGCTGGATCTCGAGCTTAGGAATTCTGACTTCGATGTGTACCTTCTGAGTTTCGAGTCTGACTTCGATGTGTACCTTCGGCTTGGGAATTCTGAATTCGATTTGTTCCTACTGAATTCCGAGTTTTGGGGATTCGTATCAGATCCGCTGCCAATATCATTATTATGGTTTGATATTTTGTATGGCCTGTCTATGAATGAAAATTCAATCATATTCATATTTATATTGACTAATATATTAGTTTCTTGATTATGCGTATGAATGTTTTCATTATTATCAGACATAATTTCAAATATATAAAAATTATTCTTAAAATTTAAATGACAAAGGTAATTGAATAATTACTACGATAGATTTTTGTCTTTGCCAGTAAAAAAATTATTTAGAAGATATTTATAATTTTGAAAATATTTATTTAAAAAAATTTGATGTCGATCTATTTTAAGGGCAATAACACAACGATTATCCTTGTATTCATACATGCAAAATTCCCAGTACATTAATCAAACGAAAAGTTACAAACTTATTAAATAAATTGTTTCACAATTACGTTTTGATCATATTATAGGATATAAATTATTTTTCATCAATCTTTACAAATTTAATGAAGCCCAAAATTTGATCGATTCAATCCGAATGAGTACGATCTTACTGGTGGTTTCCGATTTCCTATTTAATCCAGATTGTATTCCTTTTTGAATTGGATTGGATTTAAAAGTTTGATACACAAGAATATAACAGTCAAGATTGACAATGAATTGGATTACTGCAGGTGATGTATATCACGACATTAATTGTAACGTTTGTATATCATATAAGTTAAATGTTTTATTTGTCATTTACTATATGAAAGAATAATCATATCATGGTTATTCTTTTAACAAAGTTTAATAAATAATGTGTAAAAAAAAATATATATATATTACAATATATATATAATATGATGTTCATTCTTATTTATTTTTTACGCAGCCATCAAATTTCAAGCCATAATTTTTTTTAGAAATAATGATATCATTCATGTATTGGAGATCCAATCCGTATTACAATGGGTTTCAATAATTCAATTAGTTTTTTTTTTTTTATTCGAATCCAAACTATTCAATCCGTATCTCCATGTAAATCATATTTGAGTACAAATCGCAAACCTTAATCCAAAATTCCAATTTGCGAATCCGAATCCGAATCAAAACAATCGTATTGCCTTAATTAGATAAAATAAAATAACCAGCCAGCCAATTTGGATCGTAAATTTTTTTAATTCAATCTGTATTACCGTTTACGCAACATCATAATTTATAAAAAATAAAAAACACAATATTTTGCAATCCAAAGCAAATGGAAGAGAACAATAATAATCCCTTGGCCTATTTCCAAATATGGATAGCTAATTGGATTAAAAGATGAATTCGGATTGAGATAAACTTACACATTTTGATTCGATTCTTATTATGTTAATAGAAATATCTTAACACAAATAAATCAAAGATTTTATTGTGTATTAAAATGACCTCACGTTCAATAAAATTATTTACGATTTCTTATAAATAAAGCGGTTAACCAGGCTTTGATTCTTCATCATATTTTATCTATAAACTATGAACTCAACGATAACGTACACTTATGAACCGACTTTCAGTTACCTTTCAGAAAATTGTTATATTGGTAAACCCGTGTATTTTAGTAAAGATGATATTAATTATACTTGTAAGGAAATATCATTAGAATCATTAGACTACTTCACTGCATCTCATTTATTTCATTTATTAGACATTGTTACTCCTACTATCAATGGTTATATATTTTATCATTTAAAACCTCTTACAATGTTTACTTGCAAAATTTACGAAGTAATACTTGAATTCACGAGTGAACAAAAACAATTTACCGAGAAAAACCTGAATACGATTAAAGACAGCTTAACTCGCTGGTTGACTCCAGGTATGACAATCTTTAAAACAAATACATGTATATAATTAACAAATAACCTTGATAGATAGTTTGCCCTCAAAGTCATAATAATCAAAAATATGTTTGGTAAACTATAAATTATATTTTTCCACTTTTTACTTTTTTAGCAGTAAAATGGGAGGAAAAACACACTTTTTTTTTGCTTGATTATTTATATGCTAATCAGGAAAAGGTTTTACAACTTGGATGTCGCGGCTCTATAGCTAAGAAAGTGAGATCGTCTCTCTGGCATGATGCTGCCCTTGAGTTACACGTAAAAGGTTGCGATCGCTTGCCTTATCAATGTGAGCTGAAGTGGAAGAATTTAAAGGCTAATAAAGTAAAATTTAATTTTTTCTTTTAAAAAAACAAATAAATTAAAAGTTTAACTCCTAATAATTCTAATAAACTGAATTATTTAATTTTATATAAGGATCCAAGGTTTTTGTCTAAAGTTGAAGCAATCACTGGCGGAAATAGGTCTATGCAAGTATCAGCAAAGCTTGGCAGAAATAGGTATCGGTACGTATCAACAAGTTTTTGAATGATAATTTGAATTTAACGAGGGTAATTTTTAAAAACCTAACATCTAATTAATAATAGTCGCAATAAAAGACAAAACTCGTTTGATTCAGATGTGTCCGATTTAGATTATCAAACTAGTAATAGTAAGTTATAATTTAATGATTGTCGGATATTTACAATTAATTTATTTGACAAATTTCAATTTTTTTTTTTTTTTTTTTTTAAGCCAACGCTTATTTGATAGAGGATCCAGAAAATTTTCTGCAAGCTTATTTTTTTATGGGGTACAACTCTAGTAGTATATAATGATTAATTATTTCAAATAATTCATATTATTCATATTATTATTCATACTATTAAAATACTGTAATTTAACAATAAAATATCGAGTGACTTTGAACAGGTATTCATCGTGATTCTTTTTTTTTCAAAATCACAAGTAATATTTAATTATTAAATTTACTTTGAGTCAATCTTTTATTATCACGATAAAAAAGTTTTGATAAATTCCAAAAATGCAAATCGCCAAGTTCGATCGTATTGGTTGATTTAACGACCTTATAAAAAAAAATTATCATTTGAATTATTTTTCGTTTTGAGCTAGGTTTCAAATGATGATTATTAATGATAAATAAATAATAAAAATTTTTTTTTTTTTTTTTATGGAGATTTGGTTTTATTTCGGACAAATATTACCCGGATGTAAATGGGAATTCATTAAATTTCTCTTATGATGACAATAAAGTAAAGATTTTTATTGATATAAATGAAAGGATAAAAATTTAAATCGCTGCCATCTTTAGGGTATCACAGTCGCATCCTTTGATCTGAAACAATAATGTATCGTTAAACCCGAAGAATTAATATTATCTTTAAACCTAATGACATTTAGTATAGTTATGCACAAATTAATCATAACGCATACGAAAAAGGTAATCGTCA